GATTTTCATGGTTTCAAGTCTTACATTTAGGTCTATAATTCATTTTGAATTTATTTTTGTGTATAGTGTAAGAAAGTGGTCTAGTTTCATTCTTTTGCATGCAGTTGTCCAGTTTTCCCAACTGAAATTTATTGAAGAGACTGTCTTTCCTCCTTTTTCAAAGATGAATTGACCATATAATTATGGGTTTATTTCTGGTTTTTCTAATCTGTTCCATTGATCTATGTGTCTGTTTTTGCATTAGTACCATACTATTTTGATACTGTAGCTATGTAATATAACTTGAAGGCTGGAATTGTGATATCTGAAGCTTTGCTTTTCTTTTTCAAGATTGCTTTGGCTATTCAAGGTCTTTTGTGGTTCCATACAAATTTTAGGATCATTTGTTCTAGTTCTGTGAAATGTTGCATTTTAAAAATCATCCTTTAGAAGATTTTTAATTGTGCTTTTGATTTCTTCTTTGATCTTTAGAAGTCTATTTTTAAATTTTTGTATATTTAAGATTTTTATAGATCTCTTATTTTATTGGTTTCTAACTAAATTCCATTCTGGTCAGAGAAAATTCTTTATGTGATTTCAGTGTTGTTGTTGTTGTTTTACATTTATTGCAGTTTATTTTATCATTCAGCAGCATATGGTTCTATCTTGTGAATTTTTGTATCACATGCCATTGAAATGAGCATACGGTATAATACATTTTTGGGGAGTCTTAGCTGTTCTATAAGTTGCTGAGAGGGGGTTGTTAAATTTTTCAATGAATTCTGTCAGCTTTACATTTGGTTTTGGAATCTCTGTTATTTATGATATTCATATTCATGATTGTTATGGCTGTATGTTGAATTAACCCTTTTATCATTACAAACTGCCCTGCTTTATCTCAGGTAATATTCTGTGTCTTGAATTTTCTTCATCTAATGATGAAAACACTCTTCACTTCTTATGCTTAATATTAGTAATAATAAAGGCACTCTTGCCTTCTTATGCTTAATGTTAGCATGGTATATATTTTTCTATTCATTTACTTTCAGTCTATCTGTTTAAAAATCCTCTTTCATAGACAGCGTAGTTGGCACTTACTTTTTAAAGTTCATTTTGCAAACTGTCTTTTAATTGGAGGATATAGTCCATTAACATTTAATATAATTATTGATATGGTTGGATATGTGTCTACCATTTTATTTTATTTTGTATTTTCTATTTTTTGCTTTTTGCCTTTATCAATTAATTTGATATATTTCAGAATTGCATTTTAATTTTCCTTTTGACTTTTTATTTATGCCTCTTTACATGACGTTTTAGCAGAGTTTCTAGTAATTTCAATATAGAAACTTAACTTTTCACAGTCTATTTAGAATTAATATTATGCCATTTTGTATTATGTCAAATAGATTCATTTATCCACTCCTGTCCTTTGTAATATAGGTTGTCTTACATCTACATATATTATAAAGTTATATAGTATTATAAAGTTGGAATATTAGGAGACTTCAGATTATTTAAGTATTATCCTGATTTCAGGATAATAGGTGAAGTATTTTTCCCATGATTCCTTTATTTAGAGAATATTTGTAATTCAGGTCAAAGGAGTTTAGACAATATAATTGATCAGATTCTTAAGTGATCTCATCAGTCATTTGGATTTTGTATACACATTATCACTCACCTCCCAAAACCCTGTACTTCCTAGTTTCCGTAACACCGATCTCTCTCAGAAGCTGAAGTGATAAAAAAATTTTGATTGGGGCGCCTGGGTGGCGCAGTCGGTTAAGCGTCCGACTTCAGCCAGGTCACGATCTCGCGGTCCGTGGGTTCGAGCCCCGCGTCGGGCTCTGGGCTGATGGCTTAGAGCCTGGAGCCTGTTTCCGATTCTGTGTCTCCCTCTCTCTCTGCCCCTCCCCCGTTCATGCTCTGTCTCTCTCTGTCCCAAAAATAAATAAATGTTGAAAAAAAAAATTAAAAAAAAAAATTTTTGATTATGTATATCAGAACCAGGGTTTTCCTTGGATTCATATTTTTTTAAAAATTGCCTTTTTTCTGGAACACCAGATCATCTTCTATTTAAAATGAGTCAACAGGACAAGGCAAAGCTTGATAATAGATAACAGTAAGATAGAAGTATAATAGAGTTGTTCACCTCGCTTTACTTTCTTTGCCTTATGTTGCCCTTTTTTTTTTTTAATTTTAGGGAGAGAGAGAGAAAGAGTGCGAGTGGGGGAGAGGGGCAGAGGTAGAGAGAGAGAGAGAATCCCAAGCAGGCCCCATGCTCAGTTTGGAGCCTCATGTGGGGCTCAGTGCAATGACCCTGGGATCCTGACCTGAGCCAAAATCAAGAATTGGACACTCATTGGACTGAGCCACCCAGACACCTCCTTTTCTTTTTAATTTATATGTGTTGCCTTTTTTGGAAGGCACTGCCAGAAGCCATGTACTAGTAATTTTATCTTTAAAAAAAGAAATATGTTCATGTTTGAGGCAGGGAGTGGGGTGGTTTGCCTTGTCTGTTCCTTTAAGCCCAGCCTCCTGTATGTTCCCTCCCTACAGAATAACAAGCAGGGCACTAATTTAGAAAGCTTTACATGAAGTGACCTTAAAATTCTGCCTTTGCAAATCCTTTATGTCCAATACATGAAATTTGTTCCTTGTTCATGCAATTAGTGTATCTTTGGAAGTGTAGGAATTAAGTTGCAGAAATGAAAAAATACCTTTTGTGTTGCTGTTCCTTAGTATCTACATGTTGAAACTTAAGGTAAAGTGATAAAAAAAAATTCAGAAAATCTTTCTGAATGTGTTTGACCCATTTTGAGAGAATTCTCCCATTATCTGAAAGAAAATGGCAAAATTGGGTATTTTAGCCTTTCAAGTAGTTATTATTCTTTGCTGTTAGCTAAATGTATATTACAAATAGCTTCTTTTTTTTTTTTTTTTTTTTTTTTTTTTTTTTTTTTTTTTTTTTTTTTTTTTTTGGTTGTATGTAGTGATTAACTGGTAGTTGACATCATTTTTTCCTGATTGTATCTGTAATTTTCTGGGAAAACTCAAATCAAACAAGATCTTTGTCCAAAATTGGGATGATAGAAGACTCTCTGTGAGAGTCTACTTATTGCAAACATTACCTGGATTAATGATTTCTGTTCACTTCTTAATCACCCACCCTCTAATGTATATTTCCCTTAAGGCTTCTTCCAAGACTTATAGAATTTACCCATTATGTGAATTTCCAAAACAAAAATGAAATTTTTTAGAGAAAGCCTTAATTTGATTCTTGAGAATTAATTTTTAGTTCCAGTCATGTGTATTATAGAAAACAAAAGAAAATTAGTGTTTGTTTTGCTCCATAGCTTTTTAAATATCACTTTTGCTTTCTCTTTTGAAAACATATCTTGAGTTTTAATTTTTTTTAAACAGTCTCCAAGGAATTGGCCATTATCAGAGCTCAAGACTGATAACATGAGGATGTAATTACTCAGTGGCTTATGAGAAAATTATTTAGCTCTTGTTTATTTCCCATTGGGATGGGGGGAGAAGTGAAAAGTACTGTTTATTAGCCTCATGAAAATCTTGTGTTTTTAGCCCCCTAGAGAAAGCAAGAAATCAAACTAATGTTTCAAATATTTTACTTCATTCAACCTGGGATAATACACACATTGTGTAGTCCACATTTTTTTAACCACAGTATATTTTTACTTGGCTTCTTTTAGGATACAGTAAGAGGTTATAAAAAAGGAATTTCTGTTGGTAACTGAGGAGAGAGATATTCCTCTTTGCCCAACTATTCTATGTCATTTATCACTAGTGACTTAATTTCCCAGCATCAGTGTTTACTTTTTATACTTAAAAATTAAATAAATTGGGTCTGATAAAGGGCAATTTTCAGTATAGATTACAGATAATTATTATAAATTATCTTGGGGTCAGATTTTAACCAGCTTATTCCCAAGTTGTTTTCTTTATTTGGGGTCCTTTAAAACTTGAAAGAAAAATGTCTAGTATATGAATGTTTTTTTCTCCACATTTTATTAAAAATATAATATAATTTTTGGCATTATTTTCACCACACTCCCTATTTTGTTTTCACTTTGAAGTAGTAAAGTTCCTAATAAAAGTTCCTGATAAAATAAGCTTTTTAAGAGGCCTTTCTAAAACAAATATGCTTTGGCCTTTCTCAGGGCAGGTAAATTAAAAGGTTCAGTTGCTATAGTTGAGGAGGAAAGAGAAGCTACTTAGTGCTGACTCTTCAACATCTTTCACTTACTTCTTTAACTTTGTAAGCTTTTTCTTCAACTTGAAATGTTGGTTTTTTGAAAACTAGGGTCAATGACAACTGAGAAATTTGAGTGTCAAATCAGAACCACTGAATTCTGATTTTCTTCTCCTGACTTAATAATATCTGTTTAATTCCAAATACTTGAAAAGAAATATTTAGATATAAACAAGCTTCACCCATTCTTTAAGTGACTCCCTTTTCCTCCATTTCTGCCCCCTAAGAAATGCAACAAAGTCTTATCTAAAGTAATCTTTCACTGTTACAGTACTTTTTTAGCACTAGCAAATTTGTTAAAAGGAGAAAACATCAGAAGTTTTTATTTTTGTTAACTTAGCTACCACTTCTACGTGTCTGTACATGAGATAAAATTCTTTAGTAAATATTGAAAGTTGAGAATAAATATATCAATGGTGCTTAATAGTCTTGGCTGTCAAGGATCTACTGCTTGCATACTGTCCTTACTATATATTAGGTTGCAGAATAAACATGTTTATCAATAAGTTATGCAGGTTACTATAGATAGGGATTTTTTGTTAGTTATCTAGGTATAGATTTGTAGATTTCTGATACTGTTTTCATTTTTAAGTGAAAGATGGCATAATTATGAGGAAAATACAGAACCTTGCAAGACTCTTAGTGCCTTATCCTAATGCTGAAGCAGAGCCTTTTATTTCAAATTTTTCATTTCAGTTACTACAATAAGAATGATTACGTTTTTTTTTTTCTTTTTTCCTAGATTCATCCTCTGGATGTCTAAAGGCCTCAACTCATCTGGGTGCAATAGATGTTTACGTCAGCCAACTAGGGAAAGTGGAGTTAAAATCTCATGAAGGTTAGCCAAGTGGAATGTTTTATTTTGACATATGTGTACGGAAGGTTTTATGTAACATCTAGGAAACAGATGGTCAGATTATCTGTATTGACATCGTGAGCTCAAGAAGATTTCTTCTGATAGAACTTGATTTAAAGATTGACTGGAGGGGGTACTGGCTGGCTCAGTCAGTGGAGCATGCGACTCTTGATCTCAGGGTTGTGAGTTCTAGCCCTATGTTGGATATAGAAATTGCTTAAAAATAAAATCTCTAAAAAGAAAAAAAAAATAAAGACTGATTTGAAACAGATGGCCATAAATACTATCATTCCCTTTGTAGTGCAAACAAAAATGTTACAATAGGGGCACCTGGGTGGATCAGTTGGTTGAGCGTCTGACTTCAGCTCAGGTCATGATCTCGCAGTTTACAAGTTTGAGCCCCACGTCAGGCTCTGTGCTGACAGCTCAGAGCCTGGAGCCTGGTTCGGATTCTGTGTCTCCCTCTCTCTCTGCCTCTCCCCTGCTCATGCTCTCTCTCTGTCTCAAAAATAAAGATAAACATTAAAAAAAAATTTTTTTTTAATGTTACAATATATTGTTACTGTGGAATTGTTAGTGTTTGGGTTTTTCAATTTGGTTTTATGTCTGAAATAGAATATCCTTTTGAGTGAAAATGCTCCCATACATTCTTTTGGAAGCTTTTCTACCCTCATGTAAGAGGACCTTCTTGAAGAGAAGAATTTCTCTTGATAGAGAAGATTTCTCTTGAAAGAGAAATCTTTGCAAAGTATGATCCCAAAATAAAGGTATCACCAGGAAGTTCCTCTAACGTGATTGTTGACTTAGTATTAAGACTAGCATGACATGTCTCTTTGTATATATTTCTGTTACAAATAACTTTTCTAAGAATCCAAGTATTTCATTAAAAATACATTTTTTAGTCACGTGAAGACTGAATACAAGTCTTTGTGTACATGGTGCCAAGTGGCTCAGATACTTGAAATAGCTTGCCCATAGGGGCTGAAGTGGCCTGGGTACAGAAAGTTCAGAAACATAGCTCTGTTTATTATTTGTTTGTTTGCTTTTGTTTGTTTTTGTTTTTTGTTTTAAAGTTTCATTTATTTATTTTGAGAGAGAGAGAACAAGCAGCAGAGGGGCAGAGAGAGGGAGAGAGAATCCCAAGCAGGCTCTACACCATCAGCGTGGAGCCTGATGCAGGGCTGGATCTCATGAACCTTGAGATAATGACCTGATCCAAAATCAAGAGTCAGATGCTTAGCTGACTGAGCCCAGCTGCCCTGAAAAACATAGCTCTGTTTAAAAATTGTTTTAAGTAGGGGCGCCTGGGTGATTCAGTCCGTTAAACATCCAGCTTGGGCTCAGGTCATGATCTTGTGGTTCATGAGTTCAAGCCCTGTATTGGCTGCCCAGGCAGCTCAGAGCCTGGAGCCTACTTCAGATTTTGTGTCTCCCTCTCTCTCTGCCCCTCCCCTGATCATGCACTGTCTGTCTGTCTGTCTCTCACTCTCTCTCTCTCTCCGTCTCTCTCAAAAGTAATTAAACATTTAAAAAAAAATTTTTTTAATAAAGTCTAGAAGATCTTGCATATTGGCCAGAACAGAGCTATATGTATAACAAGGAAAATACTTACAGAAACCGGTTATTCCTGATGTTAGCAATATTTTTGGTCATGTTGGTTTAATACTTTTTTGTGTAACAAGGCTCTCTTTTCAGAGTGTCAAAATAAAACTACAAACACAGAGGCCTGAAACAGAAGGTTTTTTGCTGACACACAGGTGTGATTTGATTTTGCAAGATCACATTTTTTTTCTTTTAAAATAGGATAATATTGTGTTCTCTCTAAATTTCTGAGATCTTCAGTAATGCCATTCAGGGTATTTTGTAAGTGCTATAAAAGTCATATAGGGGCGCCTGGGTGGCTCAGTCGGTTAAGCGTCCGACTTCAGCTCAGGTCATGATATCATGGTCCAGGAGTTCGAGTCCCGCGTCGGGCTCTGTGCTGTCAGCACAGAGCCTGGAGCCTGCTTCAGATTCTGTGTCCCCCCTCTCTCTCTGCCCCTCCCCTGCTTATGCTCTGTCTCTCTCTGTCTCAAAAATAAATAAAAACATTAAAAAAAATTTTTTTAAGTCATATAATGCATTCTCTTATTATGAAGGCCCAAAGAGAAAAATGTAAACCATTGCTAATTTAATGTAACTAGTAACAGAGTAAAAACAGAGTTTTGAGTAAGTAGCTCTTATATGAAAGTTATTTCCTGTTTTGTATATGGATGGGCAAAAAGATAAAATAAACAAAAACATTGTTAATCTTCACTTAAAATACTCTTGAGCATTATTTGGAATGTTATTCCAGTAACCTATTGAAATAGCATATGATGTAACAAAATTTGATTAGGATTATAACTTCGTGTTTTTTCCTATTGGAAATGGCATGAAGCTTAAAGATAACTGGAAACAAAAATTTCTGTCAGGTCTTTTAATTACACTTGGGAACAGTAACTTTTTAGAGTAATGGAAAATTATTCAGGATTCTGTTGCTTAATGGTTAGTAAAGACATCTAGAATCCTTTCCAACTCTGCTGCTATCTTGCTATAGGGTTCGGGAGCCAACCCCTTGAGTCTCTTAGATGTTCTTCATTTTGCCATGCGAAAAAGAATGTTGCATGCTTGTTTTCTCTTCCTATGAGTTAACATGATGACCTTATTAATTCTTTCAAAGAGGCCATGTTTAATAGGCTTAAGAGTCAGACCTGCATCTCAGTACTTACTTTTCCATTTAAAATTTGTCCTTGATAAAACCACTGTTCTTAATATAGTATGTCTTCAGTAAATGGTACAATTAGTATTAGTTCACCTTTTAATTTTAAAAAATGGTATTGAGGGGTACATGGGTGGCTTAGTTGGTTAAGCGTCCGACTCTTGATCACAGCTCAGGTCTCAATCTCAGGGTCATGAGTTCAAGCCCCGAGTTGGCTTAAACTTTATTTAAGTAGGCTCCACGACCAGTGTGGATTGATGTCAGTAACCATGAAAATAGTTTATGAAGTGAAAGAGGTTGAAGATATAGCAAGAGTTCTCTTTTCTAAACAATATAGTGTTAAAGATGGGAGATTTGGAAAATTTTTCAAGTCATGAGAATTCTTTCACAGACAGTAATGGAGTTTTGGTAGTGATGATTTTTGTTTTTAAGAATGTGGAGAAAGATAAGGATAGAGCTAGTTGCATTGCTTAACATTTTAATTTTTTAAGAAATTATGTTCATATATTTATTTTTTGAGGGAGAGAGAGAGAGAGAGCACGAGCAAGCGGGGGAGGGATAGAGAGAGAGGAAAAGAAAAATCCCAAGCAGGCTCTGTTCTGTCAGTTCAGAGCCCATTGTGGTCCTCTAACTCATGAACTGTGAGATCATGACCTGAGCTGAAACTAAGAGTCAGACGCTTAACCAACTGAGCCACCCAGGCGCCCCTATTTTGCTTAACATTTTTAAAGCTCTCACATATTTAACATCGCTTTTTCATTTAAAAACAGAAAAAAGTGTTCATAAAATTACCACATTTGATTTGTTTAGAGATAAAAAGTCCTAGAAAATGGTTTTAAAAATCTACTTTTTGTTAACTTAAATCCCTCATATCTGTTGTTGTGGGGAATCTCCGGTCAGTAGTTTACATTTAAATCTTGAAAAGCAATTTGTTTTTTAAATAATATAACCCAGTTGTAGTGATATACCTTATTTCCCCCCTTTTTGAGAGATGATTATGAGAGTTTATCAGTTTTAGCTCAGACTTTCCAGCTTCAGTTAGGAATGCCGAGAAGATATGAAATTAGGGAAACTTAATCTGATGCTAACCAAACTAAAAGACAAACAGTGACCCATAAATAAGTGCGCTTTAAAAGGAATCTTTGCAACATTCACAATGAAAGTCGTCCTGACCACTTTTGTCCACAGAGGAAATGGACCTAATGCTTTATGGCAGGGGTCTCTTACTTATTTTATTCGACTTATAAGAAACAGAGAAAGAAAAACTTCTGAAGCAGGAGTGTGTTAATGAATTTGCACTGCAACCCCAACAGATATAATTGTTTTGGAAAATTATTACTTAGCTAACAGAGTACTTTTTCTTATTTCCTCCTTTAAAAGCTTAAATTACTATAAGATTGTAGTGGAAATAAAGTTGAATGTCTTGTCTCATACACAAAAAGACTGATATCCATTGAAAAGAAACATGAGTCAGTTGAAATTCAAATGTTCCCTTTTTTATTATTGTTATTTCCCCCATTCCACCCCACCCCCCACCCCAACATACACACACAGGTTACAACTGAAAACACAAGAGTTTAGGATTCTAGTTGTGTCATAGTGATCAGTGAAAACCGAAGTCCTAAAATATGATGAGGTAGCAGTATGTGCAATACCACAGTGGTTATGAGCATGGGCCCTGTTGTCATTGAAGTGAATCTAGTTTGCGACACTAGTGCTATTGGGAACTTGAGCAAGTAAAATTGGGATTACAATAATAACTTATAAAGTTGATATGTAGATTAGAAGAGATAACCTAATTAAGCTGTTTTGCTCTCAGCAAATGCTCAATTAATGGTAAATACTGTTTACAAACTACATGTGTAGTACACTACACTTTTCTGATATATTGGGTAAGCTGACGAGATAGAGCTCTTGGCAGAAGGAGTTCATAATGTTCTAATGACTCATACCCTTGACAAGAATTACTGTGAATGCCTTGGGAGTAAGGAAAAGGCACTGCTGTTTAAATAAAATGTGCCAAGGAGTAAAGACAGGGTTCTAGGAGCAATGCTGCCCTTTCAATCATTTTCCAAATAGCCCTTGGTACTTTTGATTTCTTTGCATTAATAAACTCGTTTAAATTTATTACAGGCTCTATTCTTGTCAAGGTCGCATCTTCTCTTCAAGCTCGTTTAGAGTTATCAGGGAAAGAGGTTGACGTGAACTCAGAAGTCCATGTTCAAGAAATGGCTGAAGCTCATAAAGATGATGGTGTAATAATTACTGGTAAGGGTGCTGCGTTTTGCTATGTAAGGTGAATAGTCATCTGTACTTGAGTAGAAATATGGTATACATAACTGCAGTTTTAGTCTTTTATTCCTTTACACTGTCACATTTTGGTGTTTTGACACTCTTTTCTTCCAACTGCTTATCGGTAGCACAATGCAGACATTTAATTTGAACTACTCACTAACCTGTCATTGGATAAAAGCCATTTAAAATATTTTTCCATCTCCAAGAGATATTTGCACACTCATATTCACAGCAGCGCTATCACAGTAGCCAAAAGGTGAAAGCAACCTAAATGTCTATTGGTAGATGAATGGTTAAGTGAAGTGTGGCTTATATACACAATGGAACATTATTTAGCCTTGAAAAGGAAGGAAATCCTGTCACATGCTACATGCATAAGCCTTGAAGACATTATGCTAAGTAAAATAAACTGGTCACAAAAAGACAAATACTGTATGATTCCTCTTATATGTGGTATCTATAGTACTCAAGTTCATAGAAACAGAAGGTAGGGGAAGGGGAAAATGGGGACTTCTTCCATGAGTATAGAGTTTGAATTTTGCAAGAAAAAGTTCTGAGGATCTGTTTCACAACAGTGTGAATATACTTAACACTGCTGAACTTTAAACTTAAAAATGATTGAGATGGTAACTTTTATGTTATGCATTTTTTTACCACAATTAAAAAAAATTTTTTAACCATTAATTTTTTTTTTTTTTTTTT